GTATACAGTATGTTTATCATATTAAGACTAATGTTACAACTAATCGGGGATCCCTTTAAATTCAGAAATGAGTTATTTGGTTTTGTTGTTAAAAAACTAAAGTTTAAATGTTTGAATTTCCTCCTGGCAGCAGCCAGTTTTGAAGATGTTTCTGATTTCAGCTTGTCTCGTTAGCAGGAAGTTCATACCGCCTGAGCAGCGTCCTGCCCAGCGCTCCCGACATGTCGCAGCTCAAACACGGCGTGCGCTCGGTCGCAGGGAAGCTGTCCGTCATGGCGAGCGGCGTAGTTAACACAATCCAGGTCTGTTTAAAAAAAAAAAAACACGACATCTTTGGGAAACAGAATTGCACTTTTCTAATAAAGCTCATCTTTCTCCTCGTTTATTTTATTTAAATTTTTAAYTCTGATTGTTTTTGCCAGGACCACTACAACTCCTGAGTCGCAGTGTTGATGTCGGGAACATCTTCTGTGAGCACTCTGCTGAGGAGAAACAGGAAACAGATTTATCAACGCTTGCAGCAAGTCTACAGATTTACAAAAAAAAAAGTTTTTCTTTCAGCTGAAGTGTATAGMTCTAAGACTAGAACTTAAACCAACGAGTGGAAGGATTTTTTTCTGGAAACAACTTGAAGGGAGACTTAAAGAATTTAGTCTGAATATATCTCYGGTTAAAGGTTTGCATATGTAGGCATATTGTATGTAGCCAAGTGAGTAGCTCTGTGGTGTTTTTAAACGAGGGCCGTCCTGATGATTATAATATTCTTTGTGTMGTTTTTCATGCACACTTTGTCGTTCACACAGGCTTGAAAGTGTCCTTTCTGTTCTCAAAGTGCACTTAGGTTTGCTCCTCCACAATCTGGACCAAAAGCTGACACAGACCTTGAGGGACCACRTATGTTTTGCTTCACTGAATATGCTAAAATCCATCCATTGCTGGAGAGGTCGCTTTGTTTGCTCAGAACTTCTTTATGCTTTAAGTTGCTGCTTTCTTTTGGTTCTGCATACAAAGCTGCAAGAGGGAAAAATGCTGAAGTTGCGTCMGATTTCTTTAAAGTTGTGGGAATTGTAAATAAAGGTAGCAAATTTGATTTAAAGCTGTTTCAGAACCAAAACTTGACGTTATTTAAAAGTAAGCTTAGCAGTTGGGAGTAAAGTTAGTTTTAGGTCCTGGCACCAAAGAGCAAGTATATTTTTCACGTTTTCTTTAATTAAATAAAAAATAAAAAATAATTAAAAAAAAGCTATTGCAGCAGAAGGACTCTGCTTTATGCAGGATCATTGCACTATTTAATTTGTCCTCAGTTGTGTTGTTTAGAATGAGACACTATTAATATCGTAATATATACATTTATTACGTGTAGAAGGGTGCCTTTTGGTTGAAGTTTCTATGTTGAAAGCTTTGATGAAATGACAATTTTACTTTTTAATCGTTTAAATCGAAAAATAGATTTACTTAGGAGTTATTTTGGACAATCCAAGTTTAAAACGATGTTCTGTTATTATTGGGATTCAACACTGCCAGTCCAGAAATCCATATAAATGTTTTGTGACGCCCCCAGAAATTGAGGATTAGTTAAAGAGTCTGAAGCGATCCCTGCAGAAWCCAAACGAACCACATCCCAGTCTGCTGGCAAACCCAACCCAAAGGCTCAGTTTAGAAGGAATTAGTTTACAGCTCTACAGAGGATGATACTAAGTAACTTCTTTAAAATAAGACAGTTCACCCCTTTACTGTATGCCTTAGTTAAAAAAAAATATTCATTCAGCTTGATTTCTATATTACAATGTAATCTTGTTACCCATTGGTTAGATATCTGAACTTTCTAGCTTGAGCTGTTTTTAATGTTTCTGCGTCAACGATGCAACCACATTCGCTTTGCTTTCTGTCGAGTTGTCTTTTTCTGTTGGATAATTAATGTTACATGAAAGAATATCCGTGTGTAATCTGCATGACCTTTTGTGATACACAGTATACAGACATTCTGAAAATAGGAAAGACCCCCCCCCCCCTTTTTTTTAGTGACTAAAGTTGGCTATCAATAGCTACATACAATAGTTGTCTATGGCTTTGACTTGCAATTTATATAAAAAAATAAACTGATAATCAATTTGTGACTATTTGTGATGTATGTAAAATTTTGCAAAAATGCCAAATCAGCTTGTTCGTAAACCGTTTTAACTTTATGTTCAAATAAACATTTTGCATTGGTTAATATGTGTGAAAACATTATTTCTATAATTCTTAGGGATTTTTCAATTAATCATCTTTTAGTGTGTCTTATGTGTACTAATAACTTTGACTGGACTATTTTGAGTTTTTCATTTCTTAAATAATCCTTATTTAGGCGTTTTAATGTAATTGACAAGTTATTTAAATAAAAATTGTACATTTTTGCCAAGGAAATAAATTGGATGACAGTTTTTC